CTGGAGCACAGAGCTCACACCCCACCCTCCTGCGCAGCCCAGCAGAGCTCCTTGCCCTGTGTGCGTGCTCCTGGGAGTTGTCTGGTTTTGGGGGAAGCACTTCCAGCAGTACCTGGTGGTTATCCACAGCACTCAGCAGGAACTGGGCACATCCCCTCTGCCTTTTGTTCAAAATGGTGCCTGAAAATGCTTCTTACATAAGTGCCCTTGGATTCTGCAGCGGGTGATTCACAGGTTTAGCCCACATGAACTCGTCTGCATGATCCACTCCCCGTGGGAGGTGCTGTCCTTTCCTGTTCGAGCTGCCACAAGATCATGGGCCAAGAAGCAGCCCAAATTTAGCTTGTGTGCATTGCTGATGTGGCTTTTAAACCTTACACTGTTTGGGGCTTGATGGAAACTTCTTTTTCAGCTTGGTGGTGGGATATCACATCTCGACTGCTCTCTGCACTCAGAATGTATTTGTGGGGTTTGTTGAGGGTGGGAGCAGTGGACTGGTGCCCAGTGAGCTGAAGTGTGAGGAGCACTGAGACAAATGAACCAGAAGGCTTTTCATACATTCATCATGACATGCAGCCAGTGTTTAAAAACATGGAATATGATCGGAGATACAGGTTTTTTGTGTCTTGAAGTTACCAAAAGTCCTGGGACCTTACTGTGAGGTTGGTGCCATTTTAGCTTAGTTGGAATTTTGTGGGAGGCTATGGTGAGTTTGTTTAATTGTGTTGATGAAAAGGTGTTCACCTTGTTGTGCATAATGACTGAATCTTGCTGAAGGGACTTAATTAGTGGTGAAATTCATAGTTTTTCTCATCCTGACACTCACCTTGTTGAAATGCTAGTGACTGGGCAGTTCTTGCTAGGTTTTTTACCACTTCTTTCAAGTCTTCAGCCCAGTAGAATCTTTTTACTCCACCTGATGCACAGCAGTTCTTGGGAAGGAGAATCTGTCTGTGTCTGTGGGCTGGGAGGGACAGCCTTGGAGCAGCCTGCTCTGGTGGGAGCTGTCCCTGCCCATGGGCAATGGGCTTTAAAGTCCCTTCCAAGTCAATTCCCAGTTTATACGTTGCTGGCAGTGCTCTGGTGCTGATCCAGACCCTTTAAGCAGGGGTGTAAGGGCAGGACTGTGTCTGAGCTGGGAGGTTTTATTGCAGCTTGACTCCATTCCTGGGGCTGCTCTTCCCAGACTCCTGGAGTGTTGCTTTCCTTGGCAGAGCTTTGCGCATCTGCTGGGATCCACAGGGGCATGGAACATCATTCACACCCAGCAGGCTCAAATAACAGTCCTGGAAAGCTCCAATAGCCTTTAGATGGGGTTGGAGGTTTCCTGGCAACATCTGCCCGGATTTGAAATGCTGCTCAGAACATTCACCTGCAGGAACCTCAGACTGTTCCCTGCTCCTCATACCAGGAGTGTCATTTCTGTAGCCACCAGTGAATTCTCTCTGGAGCTCTCTCCCCTGAAGGTAGTCTGCTCTTCTGCATTACAGATGCTGGAAGATTTCGTACACTACAGAAGAACAATCTGTGCTGGGTGCAGTTTTGGTTTTGAGGCACGTTCTGTGCTCAAAGCAAGGCTTAATCAAATGCATTGATCCTTGTAGTGCTGTGTAAAGGTTCAGTTCAATCTTTTCCTTTTGTGAAAAATGGAATTAGAATGCTCTGTAATACGTGGTTACTGTGTACTCCAAGAGTCTCCTGCAGTAACATCAGTTCTTGTGGCTTGTGAGAAGATGCATTTCAGATGGAGTCTGATTATTCAGTGGATGTTTGACATGCCGTCAGAAACCTTGGCTTTTCCCCAGTTCTTTTTATTCTGATGAAGTGACAGCTCCAAGGAGGTGAGATCTGAGTGGGATTCCTACCACAGGGGTGGCTCTGTGAGCTATTTAAAGCTCTGTCCACTTGTGGGTTCTCACAAAAAGGTTTCACTTCTGCTTTTGGCTGGTTTTGTACCACTTTGTGCACCCCCAAACATCAATCCTAGGCAAACAGAGTTTCAAACCTGTTAAAACTACTTGCTGTATTCTTTTACAGGACATTGCCATAACTCACTGCCCAGATAAAGTATCTGCTCAGCTAGGAGGTGTTGCAGGGGTAGTTGTGCATCTCAGTCCATATCACACACCTTGGTGGTTCTGAGCAGTGTTTAATTTGGAAAATTATTACTTTAATGAGCAAGAGGAAAGCTGGTCCTGGAGCTGCCTTTGGAAACCGCTTTACCTTGTGCTGTTCCACTTCTAAGTGCAGCTTTAGGTGTAAACAGAAAATCAGATGCCACAGGGCTTTCAGCTTGTTTGTGATGGCTCTTCGGGGGAATAACAAGAATTGAACATTTCCTGCTGGCGTGAGCTGAAATCTTTGGGATGAGGAAAAGCCACTGAAGGTGCTCTGCTGCTGCTGCTGTCAGCTCAGTGAACAAGAAACCTGGGAATGGGAACCACTCACATTCCCAATCTGAAGGGCTTTTCCATCTTGTGCATTTCCCAATGCTTTCTTTGAAATTGTGTTATTCCTGTAAATGGCTTCCAGTTTTTAGGAGCTGACACTTCCCACCAAGGATGGTTTGTTGTAAAATTGCCAACCAAGTCAGCAGCTGGAAGCCAAGACAGTTGGCTTGTTGTTCTCCTGCATGGGGTTTTTATAGGAGGATAGTGGTGACAACGAGAAATCCTTTTGGTGGCCTGAGTGGAGCTGGTTTCTGAAATATCCATGTTTTGGATATGGACTGACAGACAGTGATGGCAGTACTTAGTTACTCAAAAATAATTCAGGATTTTAATGGTCACTTTGGTTTGCAGCCCCCTGTAAACCTCAGGTACTGGGGTTTTTTGTTTTTCTTTACATTTGGTTTTTGGTTCAAGGTTGGTTATGGTGGTACCTGTTCCTCCTGGCCTCTGCTTGCAATGAAATTACAGTAATTACTACTGTAATTATAGGAAAATAATTTCTGCCTCTCTTGGCTATAACAATCTCAAAAATGATGTGTTTCACTGTATTTCCTACTGAGAATGAAATTCCTGGGGTCAGGAAGAAGACAAACTTGTACTTCAATAGGAGTGCAGTATTGTAATATTTAGTTCTACTCAAAATGAAATCTTGGAAACCATCCAGGGCTTTGAGGAGAAATCTCGGAGAACGTTGTGTGACATTTATCTCATCAGTGATACAACTCAGATATCTAAATGGAACCTGTGCTGTTCCAAGTACTACAGCACAGAAGATATTCTATATATTGTGGGCTTTAAATTTTTTTTTCTTTAAGATCTACCTTGAAATACATAATGCAAAATACTGCCAGAAGCCTTTTCACCTTTATCCTTGTCTCAGCAGTGCCAGTATCATTTCTTTTGTGTGGGTAAAAGGAGAAAAGCTAACCCAGAGCCCAGCACATGCTTCCTGTGTGAGCAGAAACATTAAATATCGATCCCCAATCCTGCCTTTCAAAGAATGCTTAAAGAAAATCGAATGCTTTGTCTCAAACTACAAGCACTGGGTTCTTTCAGCTCTGTGTTCATTCAGCCCTGCTCATCAATTACTCATTCCCTGAGCAAAATTGACCAGCTCTGAACAACTCTTCAGAATTTACTCGAGTAAATCTTACCATTGAAAACGCAAATTTAGCCGCTGCAAAATTTCCCAGCTTTTCTGGGAAACCTGAAAATAAAGAAGGGGTGGTGGGCCCCCCTTTGCCTGTTTGCTGTGCTGGGCTGGGAGGTGATCAGCTGGAGATCACCCTCACCTCACTGGAAACAGTCCCTGGGTTCTGGGCAGAAGAGAATTGTGCTGCAGAATGGTGGCTTGGGGTGCCTGGTGCCACTGCAGTGCCCCTGGCGTGCTTTGAGACATTCTCCCTATTGGATGAGTTTGTTATTCCAGCCCAGGGGAAAGGCAGGAAATTAAGCCATTAATTGTTGCCTCCTGCATTTGGGAACTTGAAAGCACAAGCAATTACAGGAACATCTTTCCCAGCGTAAGGTGTGTGCTCTGCCAGATGGAATTTGCTGAGAGCTGAGTGTGGGAAGGTGGCACTTAAACACTGGATTCATTAATTTTTTCATTACTCCTGGGAGTGCAGGGCTCAGCTCAGCTTCATGGGATTTCAGTGTTGAGAAAACTGCTTTGAAGTTGTTGTGTCTATTAAACAACTGGTTTTCACCTGTTCTTTAGTTCCTAAAGAACTCCCCTTGTCTTTGGGGAGGCAGCTTTGGGAGTGAGGCAGGAAAGGAATTGGGCAAATGGTTCTATGTTTTCTTCTGGATTTTTGTTTGGTCCTGAAATTTGAATATCATGTTCCCATTTCTCCTTGGAGGTGAAATGCTCTTCAGTGTGAATAATCCTGAATTAAGTTTATTTGCTTAAAATTATTGGGGAAAGAGGAGAGGCTTTGTTTCATGTTTGATTGATGAAATTATCTCACCTTTAACCTGCCCCTCTGTAATTTATTACATCTTATCCCTCCTTTTTGCATATTTCTGAAATTCACAAAAGTGTGAGGTTTTAAAGATTTTAAATTACCTTTATTTGCCAACCTTGGCCCTTTCTGAGTGTCTGATAAAGCTGTGTTGGATTCCAGAACTATTTGCCTGTGACCTTTTCAGCTAAAGTATGAAGAAGAGATGAAGACAAAAATTAAAATGTATAAAATAATCTGCTTCTAGAATAGTGTCAGAGTGTTGCTTCCCACTTGTAAGGATGGAAAATAAATCTCTGTGCATGTTTGAGGAAGATCTTTATTGAGGATTCAGAGGGTGTCACCTGTTTTAATATTGCAGTTATTGACTTCAGCTGTTAACTGGGTTTTAACTTCTAATAGATTTCCTTGAAGCCTAAGTAGATGTGTTTCTTTTCTAAATGTCTTATTAGCAGAAAAAGTACAACAAGCCTTAGAGACACTCACTGAAGCACAGAGGGGAGAGCATGCTTGAGAAGGTACATGGCTTTTGAATGATAAATGCTGGAAATAACTGTGTCCTAAGTATTTGTGTATTACTTTACAGGTCTGAAGGTGACAACTCAAGAAGCCTCAGGTATGTGTGCATCATCTTGATGTCTTTGTTCTAAGAAAATACTTTATTTAAAAGTGTTAAATAGAAACAGATTTTTTTTTAAAATGTGGGCATTATTGGTTGTGCTTAGCATGCCATTGGTGTTTTGAGTAATGGTTCTTCTCCCTTGGAGAAGTTACTGAATGATTCTGTCTCCAGTGTGGTTTGGCAGTGAGGGATTAGATTGGATCATTACCAGAGATTTATGGTTAGTTCCTGGTGCTCCCAATCCAAGTTCCTGCTCGCCAGCCCTGTGCCCTGTGCCAGCTGCCTGCCAGTTTTGGGGCAGCATCTGTGCTGAGGGGATGTCCATGGACTTGTTCTGGCTTTCTTAGCAGCCTCCTCTTTTCCACCTGACAGGGAGAGCCTTCATTGACTCATTATTGCAACGCTCATTCTACACTTGGAAGGTTCAGATAATGTGCAGAATTTCATGTAATTATCAGATACTTTACTTCCAGCTTACTCCCTTGGTGTTTTACACTCAGGGGTGGTTTTTGTTCCTACCTCTCTGCACACGTGGCTGAGTCAAGCTTGTAGAGCTTGCAAAAGTGCTCTCTCAACAGGACTGAGAAGTTAAAATTCCATCCTTGAACCTGAAAGTGTTCCATATTCATGATAGCGTTGCCATTAAGCAGATGCCTCAGCAGTGTGACTATTGATCAGTGATAATAAGGTTCATGATATTGACTGTGGCTTCACCATAATTCCCTGCAGTGTGTTTTGGGGACTGTCAGGGCGTTGCATCTTAAGGCATTGTGTTTATTTATTGTAAAACCCCAAAGCCAATGCGGGACCTTCCCTTGCAGAAGTAAAATCCAGTTCTTACTCACAGGTGTGCAGACTATCCCCAAGAACAGGTGAGTTGCAGAACAATCATATCAGAAAACCAGAAGTCTGTAGGGAAGGATTAAAGATCCTCTGGAGTGCTTTTGACTTCAGCAGAATTCAGAATCAGTGTGGTGTGGACCTGAGCTGGAGGCTCAGGGTGAGGTGGGAATCTGTCCCATGCACAGCAACTGAGCTGGATCTGATCCCAAGGCTGCAGTGGGATGCCTGTGGCCCTCACTACATTCTTTCCTTGGGGTTTTAGCTCCCAGCAGAGCTGCCAATGTGCTGGCAGGCTCTGGAAGGACTAACGCTGGTCAGCTGCTGCAGACTGGAAGCAATGCCCCTGGCGTGAGGATTTCCAGCAGTGTGGTTGTGTTTCAGCCTCAGTGATCACTCCTGTGTGTCCCTGAGCCTCCTGTGGGATTTGGCTGCTCCAATGATGTGTGTGTGTGTGTGTGGAGCTCCTCTCTTGCAGAGTGTGTTTGGGGGTTCAGGCCGTGCCCAGGCACAGCTGAAAGCCTCTGGCTTCAGCTCTGGTTTGGTGCTGCCTGAAAATCAGACTCCAGCCCTGGCTCTGCACTGTGGAGTTTCAGTCAGGGTGGTTGGGCTGACAGGGCAAGGCACTGGTGGAAGGTGTTTGCCAGAGCCATTCCCACCTGGGAGGAAGGGTCTGCTCGGGTTTGTGCCCCTTTGGGACCTGTCAGTGCCCCATGGGGCACGTTCCTCCTGGCTGGGCTGTGGTGGGAATCAGCACCCTGTGTTCCTACAGAGACCTGGGGGCAGCCAGGCTGAGCCCTGGGGTGCTGGTACCATCTTGGTTTGAGGCTGTCCAGGGAATTAATTCTGTTATTCAGTGTGAGCTTGAGCTGCTCCAAGACAGCTCCAGACTTCTCCGACAGCCTGATTTTAACCAGACTGATGCAGTAGCAGACAATCAGTGAAAGTTCTCTATCCTCTCTCTTAAACTGCATTTTCTCTGAGGTGAAATGTCACTGAGGCTGTGCTTTTGTGTTTCTGCCTGCACAGCATCCTGGTCAGCTGTGGTCTTGTCTTGGGCACAAGCTCCCTAAGCTCTGTTGATTTTTGGGCAGCATCTTTATGTTGTGGTGAATTTGCTTCCCACTGTTTTCCTTTTTTTTCTGGCAAATGAAGATGAAATGTAATTATCTCAAATAAAATGATCAGGGCAGTCTGGGGAACAGTGCTTAATCTCTGGAGAGATCATTGTTCCTGCTCACAGAGGCATCAGCAAAATAGCAGCAAATCCAAATGCTGGCCAGCCAAATGGTTCCATGAAATCAAGGGCTGAAAGGAGCCACGAGCAGGTGGGAAGGCAGGGATAAAATGTCCTGTCCCAGTGTTAACTGCACAGACAGCAGCTGGAGTGAAGTTAGAAGGGCTTGTGTTTGTGGTCAGTAAATGAAAGTATTGGTTAGGATTGGTTGAGTCTCAGCCACTGACACTGAAGGCATTAAAAGATCACTCCAAATAACCTGAGATGCAGCCAGAGATGTTGGTCTCTCCCAGCTGGGTGAGTATAATCAGGCTCCTGACCCAGAGACTGGCCTGGAATAGCTGGTGTTTTCCATGCTGGAATGGAATATCCAATACAAGTGATGCCCTGGAATTTTACACTGTTGCTCAGATGCCCTGGTGCATTTGTTTTCAGTAGCTTTATAGCTGCTTGTAACGAGGAAATTGCACCCACAAGATGTTTTATAGTGCTGTGAAATGCAGAAAACACAGAATCTGTGCAGAGACAAGACTGACACAGCAAAGCAATATGATTCCAAATAATACATTAAAACAGCCAAAAATCAGCTTGACTTTATTTCTTTCATTTGGCTTTCTCATTGTGACAAAAAAATCATGAATTATCCTGTTGTACAAGCCCTTAAAATTATTTTTGCTTATAATACAGTTGTACTGTAATAAACTCACATTGGTTTCCCTTTGGGCAATGCCATGTAATTTCCAGGCTGAGGTATTTGTTAAATCTGTTAAAATGGGGAGATTGCTTTGAACACTTTGCATTCTGAGGTGCAATGCACACACACAATGTGGAGCTGTCAGTGTGACGAGCTGCCTTAATTAGCTGTCTTTGTTCACATGTTTCCAGGAGAAAATGCAATTTGTTTTACAAGGCATTTTGATATTTAGTGGTGTGAGGTGACAGCCACGATGGAGATGTCTGTGTGCAGTATATCCTGTCAAAGTTTGAAGAGATTGTCTCAAGGTTTAGTAGCAGATGTTCCTTTTCCCTCTGCACAGGCCTTGTGTGTTCAAAAATCCCCAGAGTGGAGGACTTGAGGAGAGTGAGTTGCAGAAGGGTTCAGGGAGCAGCTCTGATGAGCAAACCTCTGAACCTGCCCAGAAACATCTTCGGGGTTTTTTGTTTCTTTCCACTTGCTCCTTCCTAGTTGTGTGCTTTTAAAGGAGAAACAAGATACAGCATGAAGGAAGTTGTAGCAAAACTGCATAAAAGGAGAGGCTTTCATGGCTCCTGAGCTGGGAGGTGCCAAGGCTGTTGCCAAAAAGGTGTGGTGTCCTAGGAGGAGCTATGAAATGGCCCAGGAATAGTGAAAAGGCTGCAGCTTAATTTAAAAATAAGAAGTAAGAAAAAAGGGCAGCTGAAGTACTAATTATGGGGAAAACATCAGCTAAGTTATTTAGCTGAACTCGAAGAAAATTGTGATTTTTTTTTTTTTCTCATCTGTAATAGATGGAGGAAATGTGTGGAGTTGTGTCTGTTGAGGATCGCGCAGGAAGGCTGATTCCTTGTAAAGGTGCACATTAGATGAAGTGGAACAGTAATTGTCTAATTTACTTTAGAGCAGGAGAGAATTGTGGAGCATCAGCCTCATCCTGTGCTGGTGGAGGGGGAGGATTGGCTGTGAAACAGACCCTGACCAACTGCAGAGAGGCAGCAGCATAGAAAGTCCAGCAGGAAGCAAAGTTTTAGGAACTCTTTGTTTTGTTTTACTCCGGGAAAATCTGCTTGAACTGTGTGACTCAGCCTCCTCCCTGAAAAGCTGCAAAATACAATTAAACACAGAGAGGCTTGTAAAGCTAATTTTCAAGTTGGAATGTATTGCTGTGCCATCTAAATGACTCAGTGTCTATATGTAAAAATGGCCTTTTCTGGCTGGTTTTAATCATTCTGTAATGACTCTGCTACAGTTTTATCACCAGTCCTTAAAATGTGCAAAATCATCACTTGTTAGTAATTTTAAAACTTCCCAAATTTTCTTCCTATAGATTTTTTACGTAAATGTCAGGCTGACCCTGTCCAGTGGAGTGGAATCTGATGAGTCTCCTGATGTTAGTTTAAATTAGTTTTATTGCTGCTAACAGAAATAAAACATATGGAAACAGCTTCTGATAGTTGAGATGGCTGTGGAGCTTCCAGTGGCTCTCAAATGAAGATTTAATCTGAATTTCAGAATGAAAGGACAGTAATGCATTTATCAAATTGTCAGAACTACTTCTATGTCATCTCTAACAGTGATGATACATTTGTCATGTTAAAAAAATCCTTCCCCCCCCCGCCCCCCCAAAATTGTATGAAACATAGAGCCAAACAGATTTCTTGACTTCAGCCCCAGTGCCTTGCCTGAGGAGCTTAAGCTGCATGTGCTGGTGAGTAGGAAGGATGTGTTTGTGGTTTGATGGTGTTCAAAAGGTGCCCATAATTCTGTGCTTCATGTGGATTTTTATTTTTCTGGATTTCTTACTGATAATCTTCAGGCTCTTCATGATGTTTCATCACTTTGACTTCAGGTGCTGCAAATGATTCTGCACAAAGCCACCAATGTTTTGTACAAAAATGTCCTGCATGAACTCAATCTGTTCTCCCCTGTCTTGGTGTGAAAAGACAGGTGTCTGCTAAGGAAGGCAGGAGCCTCCCCTCAAATGGAAAATGTAAACCCCCTCCCTCCAAATAGTGGGGGAGAGGGAAAGAAAACTGTCCAATGAACAGAACTGCCCCACCTCTAACAGATGGTCATTGAATTCACACCCAGCTAAACCTGAGACAGCCCCTTAATACCAATCCCTTAGACTTGATCCTCAAGGAAGTCCAAGAGCATTGTGAATGGGCAAATTAGAGGAAAAAGGGATGTTGGGGTTTTATTGGCAGAGTTGTGTAAACA